CACAAAATAATCAGTTATCTCACCACAACATCATCAACATATTTGTAAACCTCATCTAATAGAGCAAGCAACCGTTCCATTGAAGCTTCCATTCCTTCCAGATCATTGGGAATCTTGTCCACTGTTGTTGGCTTAAGAACATCAACTACAAAGTTTTAAACACTCCTATGAAGATTTTAATCAACATAGTAATCCAAACATAAATGATGTACCTGATGGATAAAATTCTGAAAGAGACTTTTTACTCAACTAACAAAAATGAGGTGTTAAGTAAGAAAAACAACTATTTTATACAATAGAATCAGTGCATAAATATATAACCAATAAGGAGGAAAGGAACAAATGATCAGGCAGAAATGAGCTCTGGATAAATGTATGAAGCAATTTTCCCACACATTCTTTATAATAAGAAACTCATAAACTGTACTAAGGAAAGCATTTTTTCATTTCGAATAAATATTTTCCAAGTGTACATGCTAAAGGACACTTCAATCATAACATATTTTTGAGTGAGTCAGTACTCGTAAGAATCACCCAAAGCAATATGCATGGAAACCCATTTCTTAAAAAAAAACAATTAAATTTGGTCGAGAGAAACTTGCCAAATGGAGAAATCATGGTCATTAAATTAAGGTGCAGCAAAACAAAAGTAGGGACAAATTTAATTCTCTTATGCTACAAAACATATTTCCTAAGCAGTAATAAAGCCATCCACAGACTTAAAACCTTATCTCTACATATTGTACAACAAACCCATGTTAACAAAATAATACAGCTAAACTGCCAGCTTCATCTCATTTGCTGCATTTTTCAGGGCATAGAGAGGGTTAACACTTTTAAAACACCATGCATATGGGTTGTCCTGTCATATAAATGCTTGCACAGACATCCATACATACATAAATCACACATAAAAGCATCTTATTCTTCACATGAAATATCAAAATCTCAATAAAATTCAGGTCAGATACATACAACCAATTTGTTCAGCCTCAACCATGCGTAGGTCCAAAGGAATTTCTTGAAATTGTGCAGCAAGTTGCTGATCTCCAAGAGATAAATTAATAGAGACAAATCCCTTAATTGCAGCCTCGCCATTTTTGAATCCAGTATCAACAATCAAATGAACCGGATTTGAAACTTCTCTAGCATAAAATTCATGTATCAAAGCACTACCACCGGTAACTCCAAAACCAGTTGAGAACCTATAATTTTAAGCAGACATATGTAAGCCTACAATCAGTTTTCAAAGTCATGAAAATTATTCGTACAAAAAATACTCATCCATATGGTCAGAATATTCTAATGAAATTGACAAAACAACTCAAGAAAAAAAAAA